TGGGGAAGTGGGGGCGGGGTGCCAGCAGGGCCAAGTTCAGCCGCACTCGCCGCAGGAAGCACCAGGCTGCAGGCGGCAACACAGAAGCCTCATCCTCCGAGGACACAGCTGGTGTCAGACGGCAGCCGCTGGAAATAAGACAGAGGCTCAAGATGCTCAGCAGTCTCTTTCTCTTTAATTTTAATTTTCTAGTTAAGATTTTATTTATATGTTAGAGAGAGGGGAAGGGCAGGAGAAAGAGAGGGAGAGAAACACCAATGTGCCAGAGAAGCACTGATTGGTTGCCTCTCGCACGCCCCCCGCTGGGGACCTGGCCTGAAAGCCAAGCACTGTGCCCTGACTGGGAATCAAACCTGAGACCTTTGGGCTTGCAGGCCGGCACTCAGCCCACTGAGCCACACCAGCCAGGGCAGCAGTGTCCAGAATAGTTTTGCTAGTGCATGTCTTTGAAAAATGATACAGAAGAGTATGAAAACGATTTTCCCTTAGCTGTCACTGTACTTACGGAATCACTGCAGCTTCGTTCCGAGTCTCAGAATACGCCGTGAGCCACCGGTTGATGTTCTGAGGGGCCTGCGCTTTCCCTGGAAAGGTCACTCGACGGAAGCACATGGCCTCTTCCGATTCCCGTTCGAGGCGGAATCACGAGAATGTTCAGAGACGTCACCCCTTTTCCCGAGGTCCTCTTCCCACCTTCGATGCCCGAACCGTGGCCTTCGGAGTTTTCTCTCCCCTTCCCGGCTCGCCCCTTCTCCCTGGAGCCCGCAGGCCCCTCCGCGTTCTCCTCGGCCTGCAGTAACACCCCGTGTTCTGACCTCCCAGCTGGGCTGCAACGCAGGAAGGGGATTTTTGAACTCAGAGATTTCTTTCTGTAGCAAAGCCCGACTCGGGGTTATTATTTCTTGGTTGGCCTAACACGTTCGCTGGCAGGACAGAGCGATGACTTCATTGTCGAGGCTGGGGTGTGTCTCTGTTTTCGGGGAGCCCTGAGCCTCCTGATGCGGTGGAAGGGGTTCCAGGAGATGGCTGTTGGAGTGGAATAAAAAAATATCAGTTTATTGTTTCAACGAATAGTAAACCCATTGCATATATAACCTAAATAAGGAGGAGGAAGGGACAAAGCTCAGGTGGTTTCCCAACTTCCCATGAGGTCAGTGACCCAGGAGACCCCACCCCGCCCTTAGCTGCCTGGTGGACCACACCTCTAACCCATGACCAGCCCACACTGGAGGGGACTGCGGAGGGGACTTGTCTATCAAGATTATTTCCCAGCTTTTTCGTCTACCTTATTTACCACTCAACTTGGATCCAAAGGCCTCTTGGTTGCTTTAAAAAATATATGTTTATTGATTTTACAGAGAGAGGAAGAGAGAGAGAAACACACACACACACACACACACACACACACACACGGACGAGAGAGAGAGAAATATTGATCAGTTGCTTCTCATTTGTGTCCCAACCGGGGATTGAACCTGCAACCCAGGCATGTGCCCGAGTTGGAAATCGAACTCCTGGCCTTCTGGTACATGGGATGATGCTCCACCCACTGAGCCACACCGGCCAGGGTGCTCTTGGCTGCTTTTGAAAATTAAAACTAGGCTCCCAGATCAGAGCTCTGTCCCCACTGAGAAGAACCCAAGTATATGCCACAGGCTTCAAGGCAGGTCCCCCCAAAACAAGCTCCTGAAATAGTTTAAGCAACAGAATAAATGTTTATTTTCCCAAGAGGACTCTTTGAAGGGGAACACACTCATTTGGACGCGTTCCTTGGAAAAAGCATATTTGTCACGACAATCCATTTGCACCTCATACAGCCACAGGCAGGAATCCAAGGCCTGAGTCCCCGCCGCATCTCCTTGGCGCTCGCTCGGCGCTCACCGCGAGAGCCATGTGGGCCCTGTGACATGTCAGGACAGAGGCAGATGAAGAGAAAATTAAACTCTCTTCCAGCTGGGCAGCTCTATTTGATATCAGCAGCGGAGGGACATTTGGTGTGCGTGCCTTGAATTGTAATGTGTGAGGCGTGCTCCCCGTAGGGTGTCGGAGGCAGCGCAGGCTGAGAGCAAGAGCGCCCTGGCCAGGAGAGAGGCAGGCTGCGCCCGGTCAGGAGGGCCGGGTGCCACTCTGATCTCTGTGGGGGGCCGCCTGCTCAGGGAAGGTTACCGAGCAGTGGCCCTGTCCCCTCCCCAGGGGCCTGTGACTCTGCCTTTCTTGCCTTGTCACCTCCCTCTGCCCAGAGCCTTGGAGACAAAGGCCCCGCATGGTGGCAGGGACGGAACCTGTCAGGTTCATGCACACCCCGGCTGGCCTCCACTTCCCTGCTCAGCAGCGAGATGCAGGTGCAAACATGTGGCAGGCGCTGCTGGGAGCCTGCACAGGAACAACACAGGGCCCGCTGATGCATCGGATCGGTTGCTTATTTGTTTTCACTCATCAGACATTCATGGAGCCCCTACTGTGTACGGGGCAGCCAGCTGCTGAGGATGCTGGGATGACAGGACCCACAGCTTTGCCTGCAGGAAGAGGTCAGGGAGGAGTCAGGGAGAGAGGCGGCCGTGCCCAAGGCTCAGGCAGGAGCTGGGGGCTGGGAGAAGGGAGCGTCTGGGGCGCCCCGCAGGTCAGGGACAGGGTCAGCAAAGCTCTGCCAAGCATCTGATGCATAAACAGAGTTTGGAATCCAATCTGGTGGACGACCATGAACTGAGGCCCTTGTGGTCAGTGCACAGAGAAGCAAAGCTAAGGTCTTCAGGAAACACAAAGAAGAGGAGACCCGTAGCTGGAGAGCAGAGAGGGGAGGCACCAGGAAGGCTTCGTGGAGCAGCGGGGGGCTTGAGCAGCTGGCGTTCGCCAGCGGAGGGAACAAGGGGGCAAGTGGAAGAGGCCAGGGCGTGCTTCGTGCGTGCCGGGGGTTGGATGGGGTCGGCTTTGCGGGAGGAGCGTAGTGGGAGAGAGGCTGGAGCGGTGGGTGGAGTCAGGCCGTGAGGGGTCTTCCCGTCCCGTTCGTTTTCCTGCCGTTAGGAAGCAGCAGTGGCGGAGTGGGAGGTGCTGAGCAGAGGCACACTGTGATCGCGGGTGCTCATGGGAGGAAGGCCAGAGGAGAGGAGGGCGTTCTGCTGTTTCAGTTCCTCGTTGGAAGTTGCGTTTTAATGGCACGCTGCCCTCCCTCGAGTCTTCTTTCCTGAGAAGCAGCAGCACCTGTGACTGCCTGTACAACCCCACGTGTCCCAGCTGCCAGGTCTGGTCTCACCTGGGACCTGTGGCCATCGGGAGGGTGGCGTTTGTCAGTGAGGTGGGGCCTGGGGGAGAGGGGATGGGGAGGGGGTTGCCGTCTGGACTGTGTGTGTATGAGAGAGAGAGAGAGAGAGAGAGAGAGAGAGAGAGAGAGAGAGAATGAATGTATGAGTTTGTTCGGGAAAGGAATTAATTTGTGGCCAAATCGTGAACCTCTTTGTTGAGAGAAGGGCAGAGAGGGTAAGGGGCTGTCCAAGATGCAAGATGACGCGGTGATGGAGCCGTTCTGAGCAGGTGACAGACCCCCCCAGGTGGGGTTCCGGCCACACTTCACTTGCTGCCTGCCCGCAACCTGCGTGTTCACAGCCTGGGTCAGGTACGCAACTCGCTGGCCACAGTGTCGAAGGAAAATAGGGAGCTAGGCAAGTCCGTGGAGCACCTCCGAAAGGTGGGAGGGGCTTCCACCTGAAGATCGGTTGAAAGAGTCACATGATTTTATAGGAAAACGTGACAGCGGAGACACGCGGGTGGGATGTTGGAGCCACTTGGACAGAGTGAGCGGGAGGAACTTGCTCCCCAAGCCCCGACTCCCAGAGGGAGAGCCCTGTGGGGGGGGCTGGGAGGAGGCCGCCGTCAGGCCGGTGGGAGGAAGTGCAGTGAGTGGCACTCCTGCGGACGTGGGGGCCTCAGCGGCGGCGTAGAATCGGCGTGGAGGTGGGGGTGAGAATCGCCGACATCAGTTCCAGGGCGACAGGCCTGTCGTGGGATGTGAGGGTGAGGGAGGGGTGTCTGGGTCCACACCAGGAGGGGCGAGGACGCCTCCCACGGAAGCCCCACTCAGTGGCACGGGCCTGGGAGGCCCCGCCTTGCACAGAAAGGGGGATTCTGTTTTCTTCTGCGTTTACTTGCATCTCTGAAGTGACCATTATTTAACCCTAGATTTTTTTTTAATCCTCGCTCAGGGATGTGCTTATTGATTTTCGAGAGAGGGGAAGGGAGGGAGAGAGAGAGGGAGAGAAACATCGATCAGTTGCCTCCTGTACGCACTCTGACCGAGAACTGAACCCACAACCTGGGCATGTGCCTTGACCAGGAATCGAACCCACGACCTTTTGGCTTACAGGATGACATTCCAACCAACTGAGACACACAGCCAGGGCCAAACCTTAGACTTTTTAACCTCTTGATTTTTACTCCTCCCGCCTCCCAGTATGCCGATGTCTGCTAATTGGTCTCTCCAGACTGGGCTAAGCGATGAGGCTGCCGGGGTGCACTCTGAACCCCAAAGGGCAGTCCTGTAAACAGACACAGAGAGCCAGCTTTCTCTCATTGAACATCACGCGGGGCCAGGAACACGCACACACATGCACACACATGCACACGCACAGGCTCACCGCCACACATCCTGGGCTGGCAGGTGGATTCCATGTTCCCCCAACCCAATGTTTTATCGGAGTTGCTAATTAGGAACCAAAAAGACTGATACGATTTTTTTTTCTTTCCACTTTTCCCCACTGGTGGAACACTTTGGAGCTTTGATGTGGTCAGCATACAGGAGGTTGTTAGAGGGAGGACCTGAGACATTTCTATCCGAGTACATGACTTCCAGTGAGGCAGCAGGAGCTGGCTCCTGCCCGTGACCTCGAGACAGGGGAGGAAGAGAGAGTCTGACTCTCTGACTTAGATGGGAGTGGTGTCAGGGTCGCAGAAAGCGGGGACCCTGCGGGCCTGGCCTGACCAGCGTGTGACCCTATGACCCTGGGCAGGAGACTGCTGGCTTCTGGCGGCCATCGCCTCCTTGACCTTGAACGAGGAGCTGCTTTACCGGGTGGTGCCCAGGGACCAGAACTTCCAGCAGAACTACGCAGGGATCTTTCATTTTCAGGTACCGTGCCCCGGGCCCCCCTGAAATCTACTGAATCAGAAGCTCCGGTGGGGCTGGGGCTGTGGCCTGTGATCTAACGGTCCCTCCAGATAGTTTTGGAGCACACTGGGGTTCGAGAACCGCTGCTTGAATGTGTCCATCCGATCACCCACACATCCACCCCCTGCCACCAACCCCAGGCCTCAGGGCCCTGAGAAAAGAGCTTGGGAGTGAGTGTCAGAGATTGGGGGCCCGAGTCACACCCTGTCACCGCCGCGTGGTGCCAGGCCGGTTTTCTTACCCACAACCCCAGACACTGGACTCGATGCTTCCTTATTGCTTCGGTGTCTCCCCTGTGCTCGGATAAGTAGGACCCAAATCCTGCTCTTGAGGAGCTTGGAATTCACTGACGGCCCAAGGCTCGTACACTGATCCCCACGGAGGCTCCTCCTGGGCCCCCCTGGAGAGACGCACCCCGCCCGCCAGCTTAGCCCCTCGCGCCGCTCTCTGTCTGCCCTCCGTAGTTCTGGCAGTACGGCGAGTGGGTGGACGTGGTGGTGGACGACCGGCTGCCCACCAAGGACGGGCAGCTGCTCTTCCTGCACTCGGAAGAAGGCAGCGAGTTCTGGAGCGCCCTGCTGGAGAAAGCCTACGCCAAGTAAGCAGGTCGGGGCGGCCAGGGGCTGGGAGACCCACTGTCTTCTCGGAGGATCTCACCCGCCCCCGCCTCCCAAACTCGGGGTGTCATGCCTAAGACCCTCCCAGCACCTGGACCCCGTGTGCTGTGTCCCTCAGTAACTAGAGAAACAGAAAATCGGCCGGGGGTTTGAGGGCCCAGCTCCGTCCCACGGGAGTGGGTGAACGGGGGCGAGCCCTGCTGGCCCTCCGTCCGAGCGTCCTGGTGCTTCTCACTGGCACCCAGTGGTCAGAGCTTTCTCTGGGGCTCTTCCAATGAGCTTCATGCTGGCACCCCTTCCCTAGCGCGTACTCCTACAGCAGGTCCCACGGGGTGCCTCTCAGTCTTGAGGGAAGGCCCCCCTCATTCCTATTCATGCCCCACCCAACACTCAGAGACCCAAGAAGTCAGGGTCAGCTCTGGAAAGGTTGCATTTAGCTTTTCCTAGGAGTGGGTGGCCTGGTGGGAGGTGGTCTGAGATTCATTCCTGGCAAAGTGCTGGGTCGGCCACGTGCAGCTGGGGCCGCGGCAACATGGGCAAAGGCTTCTCTTTTGCCTTCCAGACGACACCGTGTCCTAGCACGGTCCCTGCCCCGACCCAGAGGTCCCCTCCCTGGGGTAGCTAACGGCTGTGGGTGGCGCCTTTTTCTCTTTTGCAACAGGCTCAACGGCTCTTACGAGGCTCTCGCTGGGGGGTCCACCGTGGAGGGGTTTGAGGATTTCACGGGGGGCATCTCCGAGTTCTTCGACCTGAAGAAGCCGCCGGCCAGCCTGTACCAGATTGTCCGGAAGGCGCTCCGCAGGGGCTCTCTGCTGGCCTGCTCCATCGACGTAAGCCAACGGCTTCTCTGCTCCCTCCCTTGTGTGGTGGGGGGGGGGGGCAGACGGGGGTGAGGGGAGAGGCCCCGGGAGGTGCTGGGCCAGAGCAGAGCCTGGGGCTTAATGGGCAAGTCTGGGACATATCGGTCCCTAGCACGTGGGAGCCGGTGAATATCTAATCAGTGGGTAGGAACGGGGGTTGGCCTCGTGGGAGGAGCCCCAAGCTCTCCGGACGGAGCCCCTTTGATTCTGTGGAAATCTCCTGAAGGATGTAGCCTTGATCCCTGCATCCTGGCCTGACCTGCACTGTGCCTTCTTACGAAGCAGTTTTGGGATTTTGGAAAACAGATACGGACTCTGCAGAAGCACGAGGTTCTGAAACCAGGGGCCGAGCCCCGTCCAGGGGGTTGGCAGAGGGGAGTCCCACGGTGGCGTGGACGCCAGAGCCTGGACACCACCAGGCCTGTGGCCTTTTGTCACCAGCTCTTTCTCTCTCTCCTGCCCTTCCCTGGGGACCTCCGGCATGCGAATGTGGTGTCTCTATGAAGATCCTAGCGGGAGACGTGTGTGTTTGGTGGGGGAGCGACTGGGGACATGGGGGAGGGGCAGGCCGTGAAGCAGGAATGGTGCGGGGCAAACTCGGTCCCTGAACGCGGCGGAGGACCAGAACTTGTCCTGGGCAGTCGTCATGGAGAATCCGTCTTCTTCAGGCAGCATGAGGTCCCTCTCGGAGGATAAATAAATGACTCCCCAGTGTCCCGTGACATTTGAAAGCCTGGTAATCATACTCCAGGCCTGGCAAGCACGCAGCACCCTGCCTGGATCTGCAGGCCTGATGGTGGTGAGGGGCCGGCTGGGGAGGCTCCCTGTGGGCACCTGCGGCTCACGGCCACCCCTGCACCCCCAGCCCCACACAGAGGCCCCCGGGACTGCGTGCTGTGTCCTTGGGAGGCGTTTTAGGACCAGCCCCAACAAGGTCAGGGGCGGCCACCCTGAGTGAACTGTATTCTCAACCCAGGTCTCCAGCGCGGCCGAAACAGAAGCTCTCACCAGCCAGAAGCTGGTCAAGGGTCACGCGTACTCCGTCACCGGAGTCGAGGAGGTAAAGTCGGGCGGGGGGAGTGCAAGGGTAATGCGCCGTGACGTGAGCACAAGTCTAGGGCAACCCCGAGAGGGGGGCTCACCCCGCAGGAAACTCTGGGGAAACTCTGGGGAAACTCTCTCTCCGGCTGCACTGAGCCCCGGACACCACACCTGTGCGGTCAGCTCTTGCTTGGTTCTAGGGCCCCCCTGACTCCCACCCATTCAGATGTGGGCAGTGTGGCCTCAAATGCAGGGTCTCCTCCGGGGCGTGGCCAGGAGGAGGAAGAAGGCTCTGGAAGAAAGGTGTAGACATCGTCAGTCAGATTCTCATTTCACAGGTCGAACAGTGGAATCCCATAGGTTCTCCAAAGAGAAAAGGTACCTCCCCCGTCAGGGTGGGGCGTGCTAAGGGGATGGACGAAATGCAGACACCCGGCACCCTCCAGCCCAGGGGGAGAGAGAGTGTGGGCTGCGGCGACTTCCATTATTTCCATTACTATATTATTTACGTACTAAATAACTTTCATTATTTTCATTTATTATATGCAACAACTGAGACATTAATTTTGCTTTGGGTTTCCCAATGGCCAAGGCAGAAAGGGAAATGAGGGGGTGTCTCGGGTCTTGTTATTTATTAAAATGGTAGAGGTATTCATTCCATGTGCTTGTGTTTTGTGAATACGTTCTTTAATCAAGTCAGTTCCCAAAGATGAGGAGGTGCCAACATCGGACTAGGACGGAAAATAACAAAGGGAAGTGAGACACTGAAGACCCCACCACTCATGGCATTTCTGGGGGGCTCACAGGGACTGTTGGGTAGTGAGTAGGAGAGGGTGGTGCGTGTGGATTCGTGAGCGTGGGCTTTGGAGGCCTGGGTGCCCACCCTCCCTTTACCTCCTGTCACTAACTAATCGTGGGTCATTTGACCTCTCCGAGACTCAGATTTTTGAGTGGTAACGTAAAGGTAATGACAGACCCAGCTCACAGGATTGTCCGGAGGTTTAAATGAGGAAATAACGCATTTTAATGTATTATTTTAGAGAAAGAGGAAGGGAGAGAAAGAGAGAGTGAGAGAAACCATCTATTTGTTGTCCCACTCACATATGCATTCATTGGCTGATTCTTGTATGTGCCCTGACTGGGGATCGAACCTGCAGCCTTGGCGTATCAAGACAATGCTCTAACCAACTGAGCTACCCAACCAGGGCCTTGGGAATACGTCTTTGAAGTACTTAGCCCCATGCCTAGCCCGTAGTTGATGCTCCATGAATGCTAACTGCGGTGCTGTTAGTATTTTCTGGGAAGGCATTGATCATCATTAGGTCTGATATATTAACACCCGAGTCCGCTATCAAATGTGAACCCACCTCAAAGCGGACCTAAACTCGTTTTTGTGTTGAATTCACTGTTCACCCAACCAAATTGTGGCCAGTAGAGCAGTTGGCCAAGGCCTGGCAACACATCTGAAAAGCAAATAAAAGTGTGGCCACTTGGGGACGCCTGACAAATGGCACGTGAATCCGGGAGCAGACGTGAACCTGTGTGCGCGCCTCGCAGGTGGATTTCCGTGGCCGCCCGGAGAAGCTGGTCAGACTCAGGAACCCGTGGGGCGAAGTGGAGTGGACGGGAGCCTGGAGTGACAAGTAGGTGCTGTCCTCTGTCCCCCAGCGCGGGCCTCCGGGGGCGGGAGGGCGTCCCGCAGACACGCGGTCCCGAGGACAGGGACGGTAGGGTGAGTTCGGGCGCACTTCCCGTCCTCAAGTCGCACGGCCTGTTCAGAAAAGGGCGGTTCGTGGTTCCAGGTCTGGGACAAGCGAAACAAAACCCACTTAGCCGGAGCCTTGGACTCTGGGTCTCTGCTTGGCATTTGCAAGTTTTTGGCGGCTCCCTCGGACCGGGCCCTGGGCTGCCCTGTCTGTCTGTTCTCTGCCCGCCACACCGCGGCAGTCCAAAGGTGGGATCGATCTGTCACAGTTGGATTCTTCCCGCTCCGCCAGCCCTGGTCTGTCCGACAAAGGCCAGCCCCCTCGGCGCCAACAGGAAACGGCCACTTAGAAAGTGGGACTCTGTCCTGGGAGCCAACTGGCCACAGCGGGCAGTGACGAATGCCAACACTGATCTTTCTCAGCCAAGTTGTGAGTGACTGGAGGGGCTCCTCCTGGGCAGGCCTCTCCGCTGGGGAGAGGAGGTCCGTGCAAGGTGGGGACCGCACCCCAAGGCCTCCCGTGGTGCCCCAGGACTGCTGTGCCCTGGAATCGAGGGTCGCTGAGGGTGTTGGACACATGGGACGATTTCCTCCTTGTCACCACTGCTGGCACAGGGGTGGCAGGTTGTCACCGGGAAAGGAAATAGTATTCACCAGTGTCATGGACGAAGAGCCATCAGAAATGGGAATGGCCATAATAATAGCCCCTCCCAACGCATCCTAAAACCGTGCCTGTACCCCACGTGTGGCCCTTAAAACTGTGATGCTGGCAGGGCTCTGAAGGGAGTTTTGTTACATGTAGTCGCACGTCGTTAACGGCTCAAAGCCGTCAGACTTCCGTGAAGGAACGTGAGTCTGTGGGGCCCAGCATCGACCTCCTGTATTTAAAGGGCGTTCATGCAGCCACCTGAGATTGATCAAAACCCCACCCCCCCCGATTCTGCCAGATGAAAGCATCCGGGAAAGAGATGTTTTTAAAAGATGGATCTTGACACTGCTCTGTTATTCAGACATCACCTGCACTTTTCGGGTGATGGCCAGGGAGCTGGAGATGGCATTTGAGCAGAGTTGAGGGCATTGCCACGGAAAGGCCACCAGCAGGCGGCCTCTGCAGGTGACATCACTTCAGGGAAATTGCCACACAACCGGGCCTGGCTGTCCTTCGTGCAGGCTCAGGGAGCGGGCCGTGGCCCTGGGCCCAGAGGCCGCCAGACCCTCAGACAAGCCTGAGTGAGACTCACTGATCAGCGTGGGTGGCCGTGCCTTCTGTGACAGGCATTCCCAGGTCCCGTCTCTCCACGGTCCTGTGTCTGTGCTCGGCGGCCTGGGCTTCCTAATGAGAAATGTAAACCTTGTCCAGAGAGTGAAATTCGGGCAAGCCCACAGCACCATGTTCCTGCCACAGGCCTGGGGTCACCCTGCTAGTGGCCACCGTGTTCCTGTCCCCAGCCTGTGTCCCTTCCACACACTGTCTGTCCTGCCTTTTCTCCAGGCCTTTTTTTTTTTTTAATTCCATCTCCGGCCTTTCCGGGGACATGTAGCTGCAGTGAACAGTTTGCTTTGCAACAAACCCCTCAGGAGTGGCCTCTGCTTCATTTAAACATGTAAAAAATTCATTTAATTTCCCCCCCAGCGCCCCAGAGTGGAGTTACATAGACCCCAGGCAGAAGGAGGAGCTGGACAAGAAGGCCGAGGATGGGGAGTTTTGGTGAGTGCGTCGTGTGCCGGAGAGCTGGGCCGCAGCTGCGGCTCGCTCCCTGCCCGCACGCCGGGCAGCGCATCTCTGGGTGTTCCGGAAACCCGGCGCGGTGCCCGGCCAGGGGGCTCCCACTCTCCTCCCCTTTGCCCCGGCGTGGTTCCGCCACCCCCCCGCCAGGATGCCCAGAGCATCGGCAGCACGAGATCCGGGCCCGCACTGTGCGTTAGCTCTCACCCATCTTCCCCACCTTCCGCAGCTTTCCCATGAAATAAGAGCAATCCCTGCACATCTTTGATCTGAGACGCAGCTCACCATCTATCTACAGAGGGTGACTTCCTTTGCGGGTGGGCTAAGCGGGGCCATGAGGACACCCTGTGACGACTGTGACGTGGCTGAGAGGCCTCTCTCTGCTGGACGCCCGTCAGAATGAGATCGGAGGAACCCCCTACGGGCTTAGACGGAGCCCCCGCCCTGGAGGCAGGGGCTGTGTTCGGATCGCCTCCTGGGGTCTCTTCCAGCTTCCGGCTCATTCTCTTTGCCTGGCTGTGCAGATCTGACCCTGGACAGGGGCCCCTGGGGATTTGTCCTGCGGGGGGGGGGGGGGCCTGTAGTGAAGCCCAGTGCACTGGCCCAGGCCAGGCCCGCTCCCCGTGCCCCGCAGGCCCGCCCTCCCTCACCCTCCCAGCCCTGCTCTCTTGACGCAGAGCCCTCCGCCCCCTCCGCCCCCAGGATGTCTTTTTCGGATTTCCTGAGGCAGTTCTCCCGCCTGGAGATCTGCAACCTGTCCCCGGACTCCCTGAGCAGCGAGGAGGTTCACAAGTGGAACCTGGTCCTGTTCAACGGCCGCTGGACACGGGGCTCCACCGCCGGCGGCTGCCAGAACTACCCAGGTGAGGCGGCCTCCTCCGGCCGGCCCGCCCGCCCGCCGCGCTGGGGGTCTTCACACGCTCATCTTCGGGCAGCGCCTTTGCACTCTGTCCTCGGGCTTCTGGGCGCCACTCGGAGGCCCCGCTCACCCCCGCTCACCCCGGGGCTTGGAGGCGGGGGCAGCGCGGGTGGGGGTGGTGCCTCTGCAGCGTTCACCTGAGGCCCCATCGCGGGTGACACTCTTCTCCAGCTTCCGTGTGTTCAGACTGTCCCTGCCCCACCCGCCTGCTCCCTGTCCCCCAAGCATGTGCTTCTTCATACTAACTGTGTCCTGGCACCTTGCGCTAAGGCCTCTGTTCACGCCCCCCGGGCCCAGATGGCCGGCACCCACCCCAGTGAGCTCTGGGGCAGAGGGGCTAGCGGCGTGGCCAGAGGAACACAGGGTGTCCTCTGCCATCTCAAGTGACACACCCGTCACAGCAGCCCTTTCTTTGTGTTTGCACCTGAGCCCCAGGTGGAGGGGCCTGGTCTTGCGGGTCGCAGGTGGCCACTCCCAGGGCCTGCAGGTGGCCCCTTCCCGCTGTCCTGGGAGCCGCTGGAGCTCTGTCCCTGGTGGGGATGGCCTGGTGCAAAGTCATTGCTTCGGCACTAACCCTCGTCTCACTACAAAGGTGGGAAGCTCCCCGTTCCCAGGAGACCCCTAACCCACACCTGTGCAGGCTCCTCCTAGGTCGAGTCGGCCGAGGCAGCCCCCGAGGAGGAAATCCGAAAAAATCTACCCGACGTCTCTAAGGAGAATGAAGGAAGGAAGGAAGGCAAAACCCGCTTCCTCCACAGTCCACCTCCCCCGGCCCGTGCGCCCTCCCGGTCTCTGGCGACCTGGTGGTTGACTTGGGCTGTGTTCACGGGCAGGGCCAGCTGCTTCCTGCTCACACGGCGCTCGCTGCCGGCCCGTGCTCGCTGCTGTGGAAGCAGCATCGTTATAAAATCCCGCAGGAGGCAGGCTCTCCCCTCGTCCCCCGTCCAACCCAGAGCTGCCCCCCCGGGGTGGCAGAGATGATGCTGAGCAGACGGGAAGGTGGCCACGTCCTCTTCTGCCGCCGTCAGTCAGCTCACCAGCCGCGGGACCCTGGCAGGGTCCCTTTTCCCAGGGTCCCTCTCCCGAGCTTCAGTCCCCTAATCCTCCAAACAGTGGTGACGCCTGCTGCGTGAAACGCTCTGTAAACAGGGAGTGTCCCAGCGACGGCAGGTATCCTTTTTATGGCTCATTCTCATGCTCCAGTTCTGCGGGAGCGTAAACAAAAAAATGTAGCGATCGCCCTCATGTTGCATGTGGGAGAAATTAAAATATGCTCGCCATTAGCAAGCTCTTAGAAAAAGCGTGGGAAATCTGCATGGATCATTTGGGGGCCCCGGAACTGCAGGGGGTGCCTCAGGTACTGGAACGTGCCAGATCACCGTGCCATCTGTGCTGCCAGCTAGCCGCCAGTGGCTGGCCTTCAGTGACGCTGTGAGTTTGGAAGATCACACCACGGTCTCTGTCCCCTCTGGAACTGGACCTTCTTTGGCTCTGAAATCTGCAATAAAAGCATTGGGAAGTGGAGATTCTGGGGTGGTGGAACTGAATAAGTAATCGGATTGTTAAGAAAAAAAATAATCATCTGCGGCTCGTGGTCGTCTGTGAATGCCTTGTTATTTCATCACCCAGGGGGACCCTTATTGGGAGGCTGGGAGAGAGAACGTCCCCTCTGTCCACCTGTCTGTCCCCAGGACGCGTCCTTATTGAAATTGGGGAGGCCCCAGCGTGGAGGTGCCCGTCAGGCTGTCTCCCTCGGTTACGCTCTGCCACTCGACTGCCGCTGGACCGTCACAGCACCGCTGTGTGCCTTTGGTCGCCCTGTTTAACCTCTCTGTGCCGTGGCTGGTTGTCACCGTGTCGAGAGATCATTTTCAGAGGTCCTGTTGGAAGCAAAGCCGTGTTTTTAGGTCTCCGCAGGCAGTGTGACAGGCATACTTCTTAATTGCCCATTGCTGTTTCTCATGCATTATTGAGGGACTTCCTCTGGAGGACAGTGCGTCACATCACTGGGCCGCCACACTGCAGCAATCAAGGCCGGTCCCTGGGCCAGGGGCCAGGGGCCAGCAACCAGGGCAGCTTCGGGCTGTGATGTGAGGCCGGGGCCCGTCTGAGAGAGAGCACACGGCCGTGGGATGGCAGTTGCCAGGGGACGGGAGTGGCTGTCTTTCTAGCCTGTCTGCAGGGGCCGCCCCTTCCCTGGGACACACTGGTTACCTAGAAAGCTCCCTCCCTCTAGAAGGTGGGTCTGTCTTCACAGACCAGGAGACGAGACCAAGGCGATGTGCATCAATTCTCCAGGAAGATCTGGAAGTGACTTCTTCGGGGGAGGGGGCACCCATATAGCCTGGGACCGTGGGGGACCGTGAATGTTCTCAGTCAGGCACTCCTCGGCTCCCAGTTGGTCAGACGGAAGTGTGCTAAGCTTCCGAATACTGTGGGACGCATGGGTGGGTTTGTGGGTGGGGCAGGGAGACGGGAGAAAATGCCTCACGAACCTTGGAAAGGGAACTGGCTTTATGAGACTGCTCCCCAGGTGGAGTTGGGCTGGAGGTGCGCTTTCTTTGGGGTGATCAAGGTTCTTCCCTTTCCTTTTGTTCTTCCTGTCCCTGCCCCCCATGGCGGGAACCACCACCTCCCGGTGACTTCTAGCCACTTACTGGACCAATCCCCAGTTCAAAATCCGATTGGACGAGGCGGATGAGCACCAGGAGGAAGGCGTGGGCGAGCCCCGCTGCACCGTGCTGCTGGGCCTGATGCAGAAGAACCGCAGGCGGCAGAAGAGGATGGGGCAGGGCCTGCTGAGCATCGGCTACGCCGTCTACAAGGTACCCCCGAGCCGGCGCCGGCCTTTATTGCGCTTGGCGTCTCGGGTCGGAACATTGTGCCCAGTCATTAGAGCACATGTTCCTATTGCTTGCATGCTTCTAGCCCAGCATTCTCCTTGCTCACCCAGCTGCCTCTGCCAGTGTCCTTACTGAGGCCTGAATTCCACAGTTAGAGATTCACTCCTGTGGCTTAATCTCTGCTGTTCCCATGGAGACAGGGAGTTCATTCAACTTCACCTGTCATTGGGGGCTCAGTGTCAACATGCTTATTGGATGCTTCCCAAGTATAGGTTTCTCAGGGGACAGGAGCCAAACGTGGGGCACAAGGCATTCAAGGCGACACAAAGAATCTGAGGGACTCTTGTCGGAACCCACAGGCATACAAACGGAAGGGAGGGAGGCCAAGATTTGGCCAGTTTGGGTTCCGGTGTCCCTGGACTGGGGGCCGCAGCTGCCTCCGGTCTCTGGCTGTGGTGACCACCTGCCCGCGGCGGAGTTCACGGCCTCACAGCCACGCTGCGGCTGGAGCTCTGGCTCTGAACAGGCCCAGTCGGGAACCGACGGAACTCAGTGTTCCATGCGGGCAGAGACTCCTTGTAACACATTCTGGAGGGGTTCCCCGCAGTTGTTTTAATGCGATCTTGGTAAGAATGAATCTCCTGGGAAAAGTTCAGTTCTGACCAGGAAGACCTGGAGCTGGCTGGAGGCCCGACTTCTCGGTATAAATTACTGCAATCATTTATAGGAAGAGAAGCATCGTAATAAGAAACCAGTAGGGAAAGTGGCAGTTTCCAGCTCATACCGCCTCTGGCCCCTTTCTCCCTCTTGCTTCAGAACTGAGGGCTTTTGAGTTTAGGGAGTGTGTGTGTGTGTGTGTGTGTGCATGCACATTTTACTTTGGAAAATGCTTCCTGCTTGATGTCAGGAGAAAATAACTTCAAATAAATAACCTCAGCTCTGCGCCCGCTTAGCGCTTCCCTCCCCGCCTAGAATGTAAATAACCCCAGACCAGAGTCTTTGCTTCTGGGAATAGAAAGCTGGGAAGGAAGGCCCTTGCTCTGTGCCTAGCACATTGGCATGCTTCCCTGAGCACCTACTATGTGCCGGGTGCTGTGCAGGGAGCTGAGATGCGGGGACATAGCTCATGGTTCCTGCCACCAAGGGGCTCACAGTGTAGACTCACGGGGAACTACTACAGGGCAGGTGGGATTGCTAGGCTGGGGACCGCATGGATCACACATCTGGAAAAGAAAGAAAAGAGTAGAACCTTTTTTATCACTCAGATTTCTAGGTCTCGGTCTACAGATGGCCTTGAACTTCATCAATGATGTTTCAGTTTCAGAAACGCTGACCAGTCTCTCACTGTAGCACAGACCTGCTCCCCGGGGGGCCAGGGTCTCACCGTGTGTCTGCGAGACGTGGGGAGGGACGCAGAGGCGTGGGGAGGGAGGACCTTGGTGCTTGCAGGTGACCCGCTGTTCTCCTCTGCCCCGCAGGTCCCCCCAGAGGTACGTGAGGGCCGACAGAGGCGTCCTTCCTTTGGTGAGACGTACATAGTGTGGCTGTCTTCTCGAAGGGCACACAGCAGCGTGTGCTTCCTCGGGTGGCAGCACCCGAGGAAGCTTCCTTGGGTTCCAGCTTCCCCCCTAAACACAGAGGCCCGGTGAGCTGGTGACCCTGAGAGCCGGTGAAGACGGTTCTGAGTCCCACCTGCCATGCCCCTGTGGAAGGGGACAGTGGCGACCTTTGCCCCCCGTGTGCCCGCTGGCCCGATTTTAACCAGATGCCAGAGTACAGCTCGGAATCCTCCTTATCTAGTCCACAGAATAAATGTCCTGATCTCCGATAAGGAAAGGAAGCTCCCACTGTATCTTTTTGCCTCCCGGCTCTCCCTGCGCCTCGTCAGTGATTTAACCCTCCAGGTTAGGGAGACATGTCATCATTGCCATCCTCACAACTGGGGTTTCCTGTCGCCATCCCAGGCGTCACCCGGCTCTCCCCTCTGCCTTGTGCAGAAGAAGGGAGGAGCCGGGCAGCACTCCCAGGGAGGGGACCAGCGTGGCCTGATGGCAGGTGGCACGACTCAGCCCCCAGAGTGTTCCGGCCCAGGGAGCCTCTCTGGGCTGCGTGCGGGACACCTGGGGGCTTTCTCAGGTGGTCCCAGTCTGAGCTGCGTGGGTGCGGGAGTGAGTGCACCTGGGGGGTCCTGCCCTGCACCCCGAGCTCCGTGGAGAGGCCCCAGCTGCCGGAGACCCTGACCTGGGGTAAGCGGAGCGGCAAGTAATCGCCTTGCTTGCGTGGATTCCTCTTTCTGAAATGCATAGCCTATGTCCACTCCAATGTTTAACGTTAGAAGGGGCTTGGGCCCTTATTTAGACGCTCGGTGGTATTTTTGTGACCAGAAGTGTGCCTCAGGAACCTCACTCTGGTTTCTGTCAGCGAGCCTAGGGTGACATCGGTCTGTTAGACGTCGTTTGCCTCAAGTCGAGGTTTCTAAGAACCCGTCAGTGACATTAAGGGAGGACTTACTGCACGTCAGAGTCTCTGGGGCGAGTCCGGTGTCTGACTGAGATTAGAGCCACTGTCTGTCTTGGGGGGCTCAGCTGTCACAGGTGCAGTGATTAGGTGGCGGTGTGCTTGCCCTGCTACACGCACCCTTACCTCTGCTCTCCCGGGTGCCCCAACTCGGCCAGGTATGGAGCATGTGGCAGTGACGTCCCAGTTCCTACACTCCGGCCCATGCCCTGTGGCAAGGCTGCAGACTTCTGGTCTACCTGCCTACTGGCCCACGGATGCGTGTTGTTGGCTATGGAGGTGACGGGCAAAGGTGTATGGGTGGCCAAGAGCGCACCTATCTTCTGTGCTCGAACATCATTGAGTCCACACCCGAGTTAGGTCTGGCCATGGGGGCTCCCACTGGAAACGCCCCATTTGTGTGACAGAGGTCCTGTGTGCCCACAGTGAAACCTGCCCCGACGGCGCCTCCCCGTGCCCTCAGTGTGTCACTGCAGAACCTGAGCTCGCCTAGTGTGGGGGTCTTGAGTTGACAGCTCTCTAACCACTGCCTCCGACCCCTCTGGGGGGCTTGTTAAAGCCCAGCTTATTGCCCCCCCCACCCCGAGTCCCCAATTCTGCAGCTCTGCAGCGGGCCTGGGAAGCTGCATTTCTAACCAACCCCCAGGGATGCTCACGCTGACCCTGGCTTAGAACCTCCCTGCTCGACCCCCATCCCATCAGCCCTAGTGGAGCCGTGCCAGGGGAAGACTTGAGGGCCAGGGGCCCATTCCTGGAAGGGCAGAGGGGACCCAGCTCTCGCTTCTGTGTCCCCCGGTTCCCGCTGGGGCCTCCCGAGCCGGGCTCCTGTCTGTCCTCTGTCTGGCTTCCTGCTGGAACCCAGTGTGCCCCGCTCCACTCCCAGCCCAGCCCAAATTCCAGTTCACTTCCCCGCTTCAGCTCCGCTGACACTTCCTCCCCCTGGTCCCCCGTTTCCTCCCCTTGCTGTCCTCGGGGATGGCAAGAATGACATTTAGCTCTGTGGCACCTGGACCTTGGCCATGGCCTTGCTGGCCACCCCCAGCATTCTCCTGCCGAGTGTAAACAATCTCAGGGGACTCCCCGGAGCTGTGGCCGCCCGCCCTTGTACCCAGGTCGGCAGGGGCTGGCTGGGCACCCCCGTGGTGTCCCGACCAAGGCAGGGAAGCAGGTGGCCCTGCCTTCTCCCCTGCTTAGCGGCCCAGGGACCCGAAGAGGGTCTGGTGATTTTGAATAGACCCTGTCTACCCAGGGTGGGCGTCCTGGCTCCGGGTCGCACAGATGGCACAGCCCTCGCAGCTTATCAGCACCTGCCCCGTGTCCCAGGCATCTTGATGGAGATGAGCCATAAAGATACGGAGCTGTGGGAGGCTTAATTACAGCAACTGCAGCACCGGCACCTGTGTGTCTGGAATGCGCAGTCACTAATTAGCCCGTGTCGAACATGGCAGCCTCCCTCTCCCTCTGGCGAACAGACAGGTCCTGGGAAGCCTCCCCTGTCCCCGCAGAGAGGGGCTGGCTGCGCCTCCCCCGCCTGCCTCCTTGCCCTCCCAGCCTGCCCGCCCGCCCGCTCACCTTGCAGGGCCCTTTCCCCCCATGGGCGAACCCTTGCAACTGCTTTGGCTGGAGGGCCGGGATTTAAACTCACTTCTCCAGCCCCAGGCTGGTACTGGGGCGCTCAGTGTCACACCCCAGGTGCAGCACAGAGGCAGGGTGTTGGGTTCGGTGAGTGGGCGATTTATGAAGACAAATGCCCAGAGGAAAGCGGAGTGCACCCTGGGGATCCTGGTGTTGGACCCCTCATTTAACCAGGAAGAGGGTAAAGGTCTCGCCAAGGTCATTAGTCAAGGTCAGTGACGGAAACAGGGTCTGGCAACAGAAGGTGCTCAAAATGCACTTGATCAGCAGCCGGTGAGCTCACAAGGGAATCAAGGCCTCCTGGTTCTTAGCTCAGGGTTAAAAAATCACCCGTCCCCAAATCAGAAAAATAAACCGAGCTTTTCGGCCCTGGTCTCCCGGGTTTCAGCGGGACTGACGCTGAGCGTTGCTCTCTCCGCAGCTGGAGAGGCACACGGATGTGCACCAGGGCCAGCGCTTCTTCCTGGGCCGCCAGCCCTCGGCCCGGTCCAGCACCTACGTCAACCTGCGGGAGGTCTCCGCCCGGGCCCGGCTGCCCCCGGGGGAGTACCTGGTGGTGCCGTCCACCTTCGAGCCCTTCCAGGACGGTGACTTCTGCCTGAGGGTGTTCTCGGAGAAGAGCGCCGGGGCCCTGTGCGTGTCCTTTCCCTCCGTGGTGGCAGCAGTGGTGGTGGTGGTGGTGGTGGTGGTGGTGATTCTGGGTGCCTGGGGCGGCAGAGGGATGCGGCCCCGCCACTGTGGGTGACCCACCCGCCCCTGGCTCCCAGCTGATGCCTCCCAAGAGAAATGTGTCAAAACCACAGGTCCCGAGAGTCCTCAGTGGGTGTCCCCCTCATGCCCCTCTCTTCGGTCTATAGGACACTGGGGAGTTTTCTTTTCTTTTTTCTTTTTTTTTTAAACTTTATTTATTTATTTTCAGAGAGGGACGGGAGGGAGAAAGAGAGAGAGAGAGAGAGAGAGAGAGAGAGAGAAACATCAATGTGCGGTTGCTGGGGGTCATGGCCTGCAACCCAGGCATTTACCCTGACTGGGAATCGAACCTGCGACACTTTGGTTCGCAGCCCGCGCTCAATCCACTGAGCTACGCCAGTCAGGGTTGGGAGTTTTCTTTTTTACAAAAGTTCAAGGTTAGAGAGAAGAGACACCAGGAACAGCCTGGTTAGAGGTTTTCCTCCAAGCAAGGTGGGTGTGCGAGGCCCATGGAGTAGGATCTACAGAGCACCACCTCCGCCCCTTACACACACACCCCCACATACACACCACATATACACACATGTGTATATACACACCACCCACCCACACCACGCACACATACACCACAAACACATGCAGACACTACACCTCACTCCAGGGACACAGACGCAAGTGCACGTGGGCTTTCTGGCTCATTCCCCGGACGCCAGTCAGCAGAGGTTCCCAGGGCTGGGTTCTCACGGGAGGAGAACAGTCATAAGCGGGGCAAAGAGGGAGAGCATTCTCCAGAAGAGGGGCCCACCGGGATGGACATTCTAGATGCCCTCAAGGGCCCACTGCACCCAGCAGCTCTCAGCTCTGGTGAAAACTAATAAACTAACAGCCCCCTCCTCCCCCACGACTCAGGGTGGGGTGGGGAAGGGTCCTGGTTAAATACCCCGTGTGTGCAGTTGGTGCATAATGAGGGTCTTGGGTGGGGAGCCAACCCCTTGGAAGGGCCGAGAACTTCCTAAAAGGAAGGACCTCACCAGGAGCAATCTCTTTCCTGACTCATGTTTGCTTTATCTCTCCCTCTATATTCCAGGGAAATGGGGGACGTGGTAGCCGGAAAGCCACACGAGGTATGCTGCCAGGCCCTGGCACTGTGGCCCGCAGCCATCTGGGGCTTCCCACGGACTCACGAGGGTCCTTTGTATATTGGGGATGGTCCTTCGGATAGTGAGGACTTTCCGTTCGTCGGGGCCACCACAATGCCCAGGCCCTGGCTCTCCTTGGTGAAGATGGGACAGAAGCTGCACCAGGACACATTCCTACCCCCTGAAGTGGGGGATCTTGGTGTCCCTACCATCCAGTCGGCAGGACCCTCTGCCAGAGCCCTCCTCCGGCGTGCTTGAGTAGTTCTCGCAGGACAGAGAAGGCGGTGGCCACGAGAGCTCCAGTCCCCTGCTCTTAGTCTTTCAGGGGACAAACCATGGAAGCGTATGAATAAGGTGACAGGCCGCTCATGCAGAAGTGGCTCTGCACCCTTATGTGTGCAGTCTGGGGGTGCGGGGAATGACAGCCTACTCCGGGAAGACTCCCTGGAGGCGGTGTCTCGAGCAGACGTTGGGGGAAGGATGCACAGGGTCTAAAGCGCAGGTTCACCCACCTCACTCCCCGTACTCCTCCCTCGTGCCCTCACTTTGCGGTCCTTTTCTCCAGATTGTTTGCAAAGGGGTGGCATGCGGCTGCCCCGTGAAAGGTGGTGTCGGGGGCCACACAGGGCACTGGTCAGGGGCGGGGGCAGGACTCTCTGTGGGGCACAGGTCCAGCTTTCCCCACTCCATTCTGTCTACTCAAACAGACTGCGGTGTCTCTGCAGAGCCCACGTGGGGCGCCCCGCGGCTGCCGAGTCTCTGGCTGGCTGGGGGTGCGGCAGACATATTGACTCATTTGACACGTACCAGTTTGTCAGCTCCTGTTTCCGCGGAGGCCTGGGCCAAGTACGATTCCCACGTTAACTTTGCAACTGTCCTGCCTGTTTTTTTCTGGTCCTGCCTCTTAGCCACATCCCGGTGAGGGGGATCAAGACGATGGCCAGATCCGCAGCCTGGTCGGGAAGCTTGCAGGGAAGGTGAGTAGAGGGCAGACACGGCCTCCCAGGTGGTGGGCGGAAAAATGACCTTTTTACTCGCGGAGACTCAAGGGTTGTGCCTCGGCCTGTGGCTTTTGAGGGATGCAAACATTCAGTCCATAGCAGAAGGGGAAGGGTCGCTCCCCACCCCCAGAGAAGCCCAGGGCCACGTCCAGACTGCAGCACGGAGTAGGAGAGACGGCATCAGAGTGCTTTGCTGAAAACTAGGACCTGGGAACACACTTCCTTGGCACAGCCATTAAAGGGACCCTCGCAAAAATGTGTCAGTTTATGTTTCAGATAGAGCCTCAAACCAGTCCTTTCATTTACAAAACCTCATCGCCTTAGCTGCCGAGGGGGCACATCTTATTAAGAACATCAAAAACAAAAACAAAAAAATACATAAAAGCCCGGATTTATACATGAATCCTTCATGTGCCTTATCTTTCCTCCCCTGGAGCACTGGGCAGTGGGGGTCACTTTCCCCGCCGCTGAAAGGACAGGCCCGGAGAGGCTAAGGAGCCGGCTAGAGCACGAGGCCTCGTGCGGGACCCACCAGGGTCCGAACGTAGACTCTCGACAACCCATTTGCTTCCTGGCAAGCGAATGGGGGCGATGGCCTCATGCTGGAGACTTTTCGGAGGGTCTGCTGGTTTTGTTGCCGGGTCCCTCCTGTGCCCGAATGAGACCGGCTGCCCGCACAGGAGATGCTGCTCTGCACAGCCCTCATCTCACTTGGTTTTAATGACTTTCCAGGCTGGGCTGGTGGGAGGATGGGACCACCCTGGCGACCAATGATCAAGCCACACACTTCGCCCGGGAAGTGACCTGGCAAAGGTCACATGCAAGGAAGGGAACCTAGAGCTCAGTCCAGCGCCCCTACTCTGGACCTCACTGGTCATCCTGCCTGAGGTCTGTCCTCCAGCTGAAAGAGACGAGGGACGGATCTTCCCTCTGGCTCAGTGTGTACCCCAAACGCCGTGGGAAATCCTAGTCCCCTAAATCCCTGCCCCTGGCGTGACTTGAGCTGCTGCGTGGAAGGTAGCTCCTGTAGGTGCAGTGGGAAGTGGGGGTGCTTTGGGGTGAGACAGTCTCAGTTTGGGGTCCCAACTCTGCCACTCGGTAGCTTCGAGCCCCCAGCAATTGTCTTCCATGGAAATGACAGATTACATCCTGTATGTGTGTGGTGTCCAGTAGTTTGCAAAACCACGGCTCCTTGAACTCTAAAGTGGATGCAGAGTTGCTTTGAGAATTTGAGGATATTCCACATTAGGGCTGTGGCCCACCAGTCCCCGAGAAAGGCAGCCAGCCCCCCGGGTGGCAGCCTTCTGCCCGGGGTGTACCATGCTCACGTCATTAATGCACACGTCCCCCCAGGCTGTGGGAACCCCAGAGAAACAGAGCTGGGGTTGCTGAGGCGTCGCAGCCTTGTGGAGCCACAGGGTCCGTGGGCCGCGCGTCTGACTGTACCTCCATTGCACGCCCCGGAGAGCTTGTCGGGCCTGGCGTGCCGTGCATCTGTGCTCCTCTCCCTAGGGTTCTGCAATCAGCGCCAGGGACCTCAGGGCTGTCCTCAATGAGGCGTTCTCCAAACGTAAGTGCTTTCCTGGGGCTTTTCAGCTGGTCCGGGGGAGCCTAAGAGATGCCGGGTTGGGGGGGGCAGTTGGGGTAGGTATTGGGGCAGGAACACGGCAGATAGGAAGAAGGGGCCTTTGGCTCTGACCCCAGGGGGCCTGGTTCCCTCTGAGCCGAGAGAGGTCCAGCAGGGGTAGCAGGTGGGGGTGCTGAGAGGCAGGGTGGGGGCGAGGCTGATGCTGGAGCCTGCTGGGCGCTGCAGGAAAGAGCCCTGGGAGGAAGGAGGCTGGACACAGAGTGGAATTCTCCCGCAGAACGAAGTGACTTTGATACGGTGGAAAGACGCAGATCCAAGGCCTTGCTCTGCAGTGCGCCTGTGCGGGAGGACGGTGGGGGATGGTCTGACTGTCATAGACCGAGGCTGCTTCCCCCTCTGGCCCGTCTTTGGGGGATTCTTATTCCCACCTGATGGAGATGTTAGCTTGCCGAAGTCCCGTGGCTTGTGAGCAGCAAAGCAGAGGTTTGGACACTGAACCCGGACACTGGGGCCCCTCTGTGCCACCTCCCCAGATGCGGGGACAGTTGGGGCCCTGCAGAGGAGCCTGCTGCCACCTTGTCTTTCTCTGCGGAGACCGCATTCGACTCCACCCTCTGGCTGGAGTCTCGGTGGCATCCTGCACGGCCCGAGTTGTCGCCCTCATCCGGAGATGATCCCGATTCCCACCCCTTTTCTCTCCGAATGTGCAGGAACGGACATAAAGTTCGACGGCTTCGACGTCAACACCTGCAGGGAGATGGTCAGCCTGATGGACGTATCCTTCGGGGGCTCGGGAGTCCACTTTTGCCCCGTTTGCCCCGCCCCTCAGCCCTCCCCGGTGGGGTGGGGGGCGGGGCAGGAAAAAAAAGGCGGGAGGAGAAGGAAACCAGCTTTTACCGAACGGATGCCAGCGTCCTGCTTGAACCTCAAAGGAAAATGTCATCACATGTCTGCTCCTCAGTAGGCTTGAAATGCTCTCCACTTTACAGGCGAAGAAACTGAGGCAGGCGGCATTTAAGTTCCTTTAATTTGGCGAATATGGGACATCGGTGCCCGGCCTCCTGGGCAGTCCCAGCATCCCCCCTTCTAGGCTATACTCCCCCCACTCCTCCCTCGCTCCCCCCGCCCCCCGCCGTCTGTCCCCAGCTCCACCCGGTCCTTGATGTCACGTCTTAACGCAGCCCTCCACGGCCACCGCCAGGGGTTCAGAATTGTCACACGAGAAGAATCCTGTTCGCTTTCTCCGACCCAGTCTAGCCCTCACTCCGCACGGAAGGACACGTTAAGAGTTTTCCAGGAGGAAGGAACGGCTTGAATGAAGGCACTGAGGGAGAAGCGTACAAGGTCACTTCCCTAGCGCCTTGCATCATGTAGGTCCCTGTCACCACGCCCCATGGGGCTGACAGTGAAGGAGATTTGTTTAAAAACTGGAGCCTTGGCGGGTTCGCTCAGTTCTAGGGACTCAATCATGATGTGACCTCATGACTTCCGGACGGAAGGGACGCTGTGTATTCGTGCGGGGTCCCGCGGAGAGCCCCGGGTAGCCAGTGCGCATGTGCGGAGCTCTGCGGCGGTGATCAGCCTTGGTCGGGGGAGGCGGGGCGGGGCGGGGGGTGGGCGGCGCTGTTCTGGTCCTAGACCTTCAAACGTGGGGGCTCTTCAGCTCCGTGTCCTACTTGCGTGGTAAATAGTGTGTGGGCCACGGAGAACTGTTCCGTGTGGATCCACTTTGCTGCGAGCGGTTCCCTCATTGAATCATTCTTCCGAAACGTCCGTTTAGATTTGAGTGGCTCTGTAGTCCCCTTGCATGGTCCCAGTGGTATTTGCATCCCTTGTGACTCCTAGAGGTTGTGCTGACTCTGTTGCCCTTCGGGAGCGTGCGCGCCATGGTTTGGGTGGGGGCGGGGAGCGCGGTTCTGAACCAGGGTGTGCAGCTGAAAAGCCCGGGAGGCTTTGGTAGAAATAACTTTACTGAGATATAATTCACACGCTGTCTGATGTACCCACTTAGAGGGTCCAGTTCGGTGATTTTCAGTATATTGACCGAGTTTGCAAACGTCGCCACCCATTTACAATTTTTTTATTTATTGACTTTTAGAGAGAGAAATGTTGATTTGTTCTTCCACTTATTTATGCATTTATTGGTTGATTCTTGTACATGCCCTGACCAGGAATCGAACCTGCAACCTTGGCGTATAGGGACCATGCTCTAACCAACTGAGCTACTCAGCCAGGGCTTATTACCACCCATTTTAAAACACTTTCCTCACCCTCCATAGAAACCCTGTACCCACACTAGTAGTCACTCCTCACCGCTCCCTCCACCCCCCGTAAATGCTTTCTGACTCTGTAGATTTGCCTGTTCTGGACATTTCATAGAAGTGGAATCATATGACATGTGGTCCTTGATGGCTGGATTCTTTCACTTAACATGACATTTCAAGCATGTGTCAGCACGTCATTGCCCATGGGGTTTCAAAAGTACGGTTGGCTGAGTCTCACCCCTGGAGGTGCTTATTCAATAAACCTGCGTGAGGCTCGGGTCTTGCAGGTTAATTCCATCTGGAGTCATGGACCATGGTGCCCCGGGACAAGGGCTATAGAGCAGGCATCCAAATTCTGGCTCCACCACTTATTAGGTGTTACATTTCGAGAGTTTACTAACTGCTTTGAACCTCGGTCTCTTCTCCTGGAAAATGGGATAACAGTGGGTGTAGCTCCGATGACTATTGTGAGCACGGAATGAGACACAAGGGTATCAAATGCCTAGACCCAGAGCGGCGCTGGTGGAATTATTAGTGATGCGTTGAAGGCTGTGGTGCATTCCGCACCCAGGGTGCATCAGAGGGACCAGAACAGAGGCTTTCTTCAGGGCGAGGTTGACGCTCTGGCGTGTAAACACGACTTTTTGTTTGGCTGGTTGAAGGAGGTGAGAGGGAGGGTCGGCTTTTGAATTTTAACATCTGTTCTGTGATATGCTGGGGTTCGTCCTTTACCTGAAATTCCTGAGAAAAGGGTAGCGTTTCAGTGAGTCTTAACTTCATGGCTAGAGGCCGTTTAAAACCAGATCCCCATTGTGTAGCCCAGGGCTCAGTGAAGATTTGTCTTGCTGGCCACAGAGCATCCCGCCTGTTTTGGTTGAGCAGTAGCCCATGACCTCTGTGCCCCCGTGTCCCAGAGCCCCAGGACTCAGCTGGACACAGTTAAGCTTGGAGCTCCCTTGGGTGTCGTGCAACAAGCACATGGAGAGTGTCGCAGCTGAGAGTGCCCAGCCTGCTCCTGATGACTCTTCTGAAGACGTGTCAACATTCTAACCAACGCGTGATTTCAATGATCACAGAAATTTAAGTCTGGAAGCGAATTTACAGATCATATAGCTCAACCCTGTCAAGCACCCAGGATGCCTCGGTGTTAGGTGCTAATGAAGGACACTCCTGGGGGAGGGGGGGTGCACTTGGCTCTTGACTTGCCCTTTGCTCCCGGCTCTGTGACCTCACAGGAGGGCCTTAGTGAGCATTCGACCCTTTAATCTTTCCTTGCATTTGCTTCCCACCAACATTCCCCACAGGGAGCCCCAGGGCCCTGCTTCCTGCAGACCTGGGGATGCTCACCGATGCCTCACGACGGTGTAGCATGATCCCAAAGGAAAAGAGATCCGTAAGGCACGTAGAATCTGAGCTTGATCGTGTTGGCCTTTACTATGTTCAGAGCAACGGGACGGGCACCTTGGAATTCGAGGAATTCAAGATGCTGTGGTTGAAGATTCAGAAATATCTGGTAAGTCTTCTGTCCCTGCTGGGTATCCTCTGGGCTCCGGCCTCTCTCCCCTGTTCTGTTTGTAGCCCCTCCCCCTCCCTGACCCTCACTCCTGGTCTCTGTTATGCCCCACTCAGACTCGCCCCTTAATCAGGGTCAAAACCAATGCAACCTGGCCGTGGTGGTCAGGAAGCGCTAAAAAAGCAACGAGAAACACTTGTGCCAAAGCCTTTACTGAGAGCCCCACCGTGCAGAGGGCAAGGGGGTGAGTGCGGGTGGGACCTCAGCCCAAGCTCTTATTTGGATCCGAAAAATTCTTGGAGGTGTCTGTGAAGTCCCCTCTTGAGGAATTGAGGTGGGGGAGGGAGATCATTCTGGAAGGGGCCATGCACAGCTGCTGCTCTCTCCCTGGAATCCCTCCCCTGCTCAGGAGATCTACCTGGAGACCGACGACAACCACTCGGGGACCATTGATGCCCACGAGATGAGGACAGCCCTCAGGAAGGCTGGTGAGGGCGCACCCTGCAGACAAGGTCTTGGGACCCGGATGTGCCCACTTCAGTCATTCTTGTGACGATGGCCAGTGACCGTCGGTGGTGGTCACTTCCTGCTGGACCGCAGCGTGACCACAGAGATTTATTGTGCACCTTCCCTACTGAGGGGGGCGGGGACATTGCTGGGGTCTGTCTAGTGAGGCTCGTCAGACCTTTCCACGGACTTTGCCTGTCACTCACTGGGAAGGTGACGGCAATCACGGGGGGTGGGGGTGGGCGGGGGAGGTTGGGACCGATGTGGCACCCAGCTGGTTAGTGGTGGAGTTACAGGCCTAGTCTAGGGCCAGGGAAGAGGTGAATCCTTTGAGAATTATCTCTACGGAGACCGACCAGATGATCAGACTTTGCTGCTGACTCTTGGAGGAGGCAGAGTCAGGCCTGGTCCCCGCGAAGCCCGCACCTTGATGGCTGCTGGCGGCAGTGCCCAGCCCCCCACTCCAGCTGTGACCCGGGCCCCTCTGCCCGCAGGATTCACGCTCAGCAACCAGGTGCAGCAGGGCATCGCCATGCGGTACGCGTGCAGCAAGCTCAGCATCGACTTTGACGGCTTCGTCGCCTGTATGATCCGCCTGGAGACCCTCTTCAGTGAGCCGCCCTCTCCCCTGGGCCCATCCCGTTTCTCCGGGGTGCAGGGAGGGGCAGGAGGCAGAACAGACAGGCGTGGTGACTGTGGCGCCCTCGGGCAAGGGGACACAGAAACTATAGGGGCAGAGGAAATCCCAGGTGGCCACGTCCAAAGTCAGAGCCTGCCTTTTTTTGGGGACCTAAAGAACTGCTCTCCAGATTATTGTGCGCCTACTATGTGCTGTCACTGGGCCACGGCGAATGAGTCTAGGTCACGGTCCTTAAATGGCTGCTAGTGTCTATTCACATGTGTGCCTCTATAGGGGTCATATGGGGACAGGTGTCACCTCCCAGGGAGGGGATGTGGGTCCCCCTCGGGAAGGCAGTGGGTGTTCTGCCCCCGTGGGCCTTGGGCTTGTGCTAAACTGTCCTATGAAGGGAGAAGGTTTTCCTTTCATGGAGGGCAGGGGCGTCAGTCGGTTCTAATGGGAGAAGTTCAGGCAGCCGGAGCCCAAGCTAAGGGGCTGCATTACCCACGCACGGGGCGGGCGTCATCTGGTCCACGACCCCGGCCCCACTCTGCCCTTAAAAGAATGAAAGTTTCCAGAAAAAGACCTGCAAGCTGCTAGAGTTTCTGAGGGAGGAGATGACAAAGAAATCACCCGTTTAGAGCTGGAAGTCTGTCCATCTGGGCAGGGGGACATGAGATGCCCCAAACCCTGACCCCGGGCACTGGGTCAAGGACCCGGTTTTCAGGGTCCCTGAAGCTGCGTAGGACTGGGGGCGGGGTACCAGGTGGGGATGGGGTGTCCAAGATCAACCCTGTCTAATTCATTCCTTTTCTGGCGTTCTAGAACTATTCACGCTTCTGGACAAGGACCAGGACGGCACCGTGCAGCTCTCTCTGGCCGAAGTAAGTGACTTGAGTTTTGATGAGTTGCTTGCCGACGGTACTTAGAAATTCCGGGCCAGTGCAGGTACAGGGTGGTGTTTGTTCACCTTGACCTGTCCTTGACCCACGTGGGTGAGACACACGTTCCATGGCAGGCACTGCGGGAAGCACGTGGCTGTGTGCCACACAGCCTTTTAAACATTTTTATTACTATTATTCATATAAATGTACACCTACCTTCCAGGTCATTTCAAGGGTGCAAACCCTGTTAGTCTGAATGAACGAGTGGGTGGCGGGTACGACAGAAAGTGTAGCACTTCAGGCCCAGACACAGAGAAGGACTCAGAAACAAAGATTAAACTGCAACAGAGTAGAATGGAGATGCAAACGAAATGACGTCTCCCTGTGCACAGGTCACACGATGTCCCACGCAGACAGCTCCTGGCACCCCCTCCGCTGGCGGGGCTGCAGCCTGGGGCAGCAGAGGCCGCAGGGTGCAGGGAGGGAATGTCCCGAGGGTCCGGCCCCGAGGGAGGCGTTGCCCTTGACCTGCTCGGGAGGCCGAGGAACCGGAGGACCAGGTGTTTCCTGGCCCTGCCAAGTTGTCTGGGCAAAGCCACTCTCTCTCCTCCTCTAAAGCGCGGATGCCATTGACCCCTTCGAGGGGTCTGAGGAAGCCCTTCCTAGAAACAAACCTGTGGGTGCCTACTAATACCAGACAATGGTGTTGAACTTGTTGAGTGTGTGCATGCGCATTTTTTACATATATATATAAACCATATATTTTATATCACATGTATTTTATGCTACATGTATATATGAATACACACACACCTCGTTTTGGAAGTTCCTTTGTGTCTACGCTTTTCCTAAGTCACATTTCTGCAGTGCCCTGTCCTAGGGGCGACTTAGTTAAGGGCTTCCTCTCATTGAGCAAGGCGCTTGCTGGGGGCAGGGCCAGAACAAGCTCACGTCCTTGGGGCGAGGAGAGCGTCTGGCAGAGTCACGCCAGCTCCCGGAGGAGCGGGGCTCACCCGGTGTCCTTCCTTTGCAGTGGCTGTGCTGCACGTTGGTCTGACCCAGGCTTCCGGACTTCGGTGACCCCCTCCCCCACCCCCGCCGGCCTGCCTGCCTGCCTCTTTTCTCCCCTCCTTTACAATTCTGTGGAGCTCATCCTTCGTGGCTCATCCCTGTCTGCCTCGCCTGGCATTGTTCCCTGAGATCCTGGCCTGTCCCGCCCGCCCGAGTGTTTGGGGAGCCCGGGCTCCCTTTCAGCAGCGTTGAATTGACCCCAGGGATGGACAGAACTCAATGGAAGATGTGAACCAAAACAGTTTGGCCTTTCTCCCGGGGTATGCAATCCGGGCAGTACCCTGGGCTTTCCCTGCTTTAGGAAAGAAGATGTTCTTGGGAAATGACTCGGAGCAAAGCTGTGGAGAGATGGAAACTGTGGGTGGATTCCTTGGAGGAACGGCTTCTGGGCAGACAGCTTCGGGGCAGCCTCCTTCTGGAAAGGGGCCCCTGCAGCCCTCCCAGGAAGGGGGTGGTGGGGGGGCTGCTGGGAGAAGGGGCCGTGCTTCCTCACCTTCAGACGGGAGAAATGGCCGCAGTGTGTTTCGGCGGCTGCCCAGTCTACAGGAAGATTATCGCGGAGGGGAATTCTTACTTGACAAACAGCTCCAGGGGAAACGCAGTTCGGGCTGGTTTTGCTCACGGCTGAACACAGGGGTTGCCTGGCTGGTGGGAAAGTAGATGTCCCAGCCTCAGGTACTGATGGGCGGGTGGGGACAGAGCCGGTTCTCGTACGCAGACCTCAGACGTGCAGTGCAGAGGAAGGTGAACCTCTCGGTCAGCTCGGGCCGCTGTAACAAAGCGTCACAGCCTGGGCGGCTTGTAGATGAACACCAGACATTCATTTCTCACCGTTCTGGGGGCTGGAAGTCCGAGATCAGGGTGCCAGCACGTCTGGGTCCTCGTGGGGACCCTCCTTTAGGTCACAGACAGTTGACTTCTTGGTTGCACTCTGGCATGGACAGCAGACAGGAAGTGAGCCCTCTCAGGATTCTTTTTAAAAAAATTCTCACCCAAAGACATTTTTTTTTTCCCATTGCATTTAGAGAGAGAAACATCCATGCGAGAGAGAAGCATCAGTCAGCTGCCCCCTGCACGCACCTGGACCAGGGATTAAACCCACGACCTGGGTGTGCGCCCTGACCAGGGATCAAAGCCGTGGCCGTGCGGTTACAGGGCGATGCTCCAACCAACTGAGCTGCACTGGCCAGGGCCTTTTGGTGATGCTTACAAGGGCACTAATCCCCTTTGTGGGGGCCCCACCCTCGAGATCTCATCTAACCCTGATGACCTCCCAAGGGCCTTACCGCCCCTGCCATCGCCTGGGGGTGTGTGTGGGTGAGGGGCTCCACACTCGGTGCATTACGAAGAGCTGCTGGTGAGAAAGCACACAGGCAGGCCTGGGCCTCTGACTGAGGAGTAACTTTCAAATCCAGAAGTAGAGCAGGTCGAACGTTCTTCGTAGGAGCAGGACCATCAACTATGGCGGAACACCAGTCAGCTGTCGTGCTGCCTTTGGGTCTCCCGGGGCTCAGTGGGCAAGCAGTGGTGGGCGCTAAGCTGCAGGGGGAGGTGGGCTCAGGCCCTTGCCACTGCAGGGGGAGTCAGCTCATCTGAAGGCAGAGAAGGAGCTCTCTCTGTGTCGCCAGCCTGTGGGTCCCGGGGGAAGAGGGGTCCCTCCTGTCCAGCCAGGGGTACAGGGGAGCTTCGTTGCCAGAGCACTTCCATCAGAACTCATCAGGGGCGCACCCAGCCACCCTCAGACAGCCCACGGGCCACCAGCCTGCCCCTGTCGGCCCCCCTGGGGTGAGTCTGAGGCCCACCGACCAGGTACAAGTCCCCACGCCATCCCTTTCTTTCAAAACAAAGTGCTGCGAACCGAGTCCCCCTCACATTGCGAATGTAGCACAGCTGTGTATGTGCATTTAAAGGGCTATGTTATATGTGCCATGCAACAGGTAGCTTTATTTTTCAGGCCTACAGGCTCCAGCTACTTTAGGGGATGATCTGGGAACCAGAAAAGTAGTCTCGTTACAAAACGGCATTTGCTTTGGGGGTCTCAGCCCCACGTACGGGTTGTCCTGAGGATTCCTCCCAATACAGCCTGCGAGTGAGGTTGAAGATCCCCACGGCACCTGGACTTTCTCTCAAACACCTTAGAATTTGTATCGTGCTCCTTTCTTCTCCCCGGATTAAGGAAGTGGGAGGCGCTGCCTTCCGGTGTGGCCCCTTCAGTGTCCCCAGGAGTGGCTGTGTGGCAGGGGAAACGGGTCTCTCCAGGTCCACAGCCCTCCCATGTGGGTTTCCAGGAAGGCTCCCATCCCACCCTGAGCTTGTCCTGTTGAGAGAACGGGACCCTGAGACAGAGGACACACTGGTGAGGGCCAGAGGGAAGGGGGGTGGGGGCCGCGTGAAGCAGGCAAAGGGGCACGGGAGACCCAAACTCCCGGTTATAAGATAAACCAGCCATGGGAGGGAAGGGGTGGCTTAGGGAACGTGGGGGGATAATACCGTAACAGCTTTGTATGGTGATGCATGGTAACTAGACTCATGGGGTGATCCCACCGTAAGGGGTATAAATGTCGAACCACCCTGTCGTACAGCTGAAACCCATATAATACTCCATGTCAATCAAAACGGAGCCCCCTCCACCGGCCCCGGCCCGACTTGCACATTGCTCTCCTCGTTCCCCCAGAGCCTAGTTTTACCCAGCGGGCTGGGCACCGAGCCGGCGCTCAGCCGATGAAAACTCTGTCCCTTCCTTTGCCGGAGAGGAGGCCCTGCAGAGCATGGGCTCCCTGGACAGAGGAGTTTCCAGGACGGTGGGGGGTGGGGTTTGCGTGGGTTGCGAGGGGCAGTTCTGGGCAGAGGCCCCAGGCGGACAGTGCTTGTGGCAGATGCATTCGAGTGCCTCTTTGGGGTTGGGGGGGTGATGTGAGGGGCTGGAGAAGATGTGGCACCTTTAGGGGTCCCTGCTGAGCCCCCAGGCTCCACCCCCCACCCCCGCCCCCACAACATGACGACAAGAGTGGAGGGAGCTGTTGCCTCCAGGGGGCCGACTCCCGAGTCCCTGGGTCTTTGCCTTGTGCAGAGAATCCTAGGGGAGCCCTTGGGTTCCCCAGCTTCTTTAAGGAGAGCAAGGCAGCTCAGTGGGAGGCTCAGGTCAGCCCAGAGAGACAGCTGCAGGGTCTGGGTCACCCTCCCACTGGGGCCCTTGGGTCCTCTCCTGCCTGAGGAGCCCAGACATGCAGCCTCCTAAAGGCATGGCTCGTTCTGTCACCAGCAAACATAAGGGGACACGTGCCACCGGGCAGCTCCCGGACTCCAGGAGACCTCCGGGAGCACGGGTGGGAGGCGGTCAGGGTGTGCGGAACGTTCTAGGTCATTCCACACCAGCAAGGCCACCTCCAGCAAGCTCCCTTTGCCGCCACAGCTCAGCGTCACGCATTAGCTTTCCCCGCACATCCGCCAGCTGGGGCGAGGCTTATCATAATTGTGCAGAATTGCAGGAGCAGCTCAAGCAGGGCTGGCGGAGTCAGACAGACAGACAGCCCTTCCACGGGCGACGGGGCTCTTCCCACCAAGGCCCCCACGACGTCAGGGCTCTCGGCAGCCCGGCCCTGCAGGGTTGTGCTTGTCTGCCCACCGCGGCTGGCAAGGCTGCTGGTGGTCTCACGCTGGCTCCTCACCTCCTCTGGGTGCTGGCTGCTCCCCTGAGTCGGGGCCGAGGGTCCACGGGAGAGAGTCCTCCCTTCCTCAGCCAGCTGTGCCCTCTCCGCCTGGCCAGGCTGACTTCCTTCTTCCTTCACTTCAAGCCGCCAGGCTTCTCCGATGCCCGGCATCTTCTCCGCTTTCGGTGTTTTAGTTTGCTGCAGGCCCCAAGCCTGCCGCTGCCCCCGCCCCTGGCTCAGGGACGAGGCCCTCCCACCCCACCCAGCCCACGATCGTCTGCTCTTCTCCCCCGAGGTCCCAGTTCCCGAGAGACGTCTTCCTTCATACACCCACCCTGCCCTTCGATTTATGGGCTGGGCTGACCTTGAGAATTCACATAGCCCGCTGTGGACAGTCCGGACACCATCTGACCCCTCTGTTCTTCAGAAAAGACATCGGAAAGGCCCTATGGGAGCCCTATATATCAATTCGATTGATCGCCTTTTAGTATTTGACCATACCTGTTTTACTGTTTCTTGCTGAAGTAAATCACAGACATCATGACATTTTACTCTGCACGATGCATCTCTCAGAAGAGCATTTTCTTACACAGGCACATGACTATCATCCACCCCCCCAAAATTAACAATAGTTCTTTAGTCACATCTAATACCGATTTATAGTTGAGTTTCCTTGACCGGCTTCACAATGTGCTTTTATAGTTGGTTTCCTTGAGTGGGGGTCCCACCTTGCCCCCTTGAATCTACAGCAGTCTTTCCCTTTTTCTTTTTTTTAAGATTTTATTTTCAGAGAGGGAAGGGAGGGAGGGAGAGGGAGAGAGAGAGAGAGAGAGAGAGAGAGAGAGAGAGAGAGAAACATCAATGTGCGGTTGCTGGGGGCCGTGGCCTGCAACCCAGGCATGTGCCCTGGCTGGTTCGCAGCCCGCGCTCAATCCACTGAGCTATGCCAGCCAGGGCGAGTCTCCCTTTTTCATGCTGCTGAGTGAGTGTTAGTGGGTAATCGGACTTCTAAGGAGGCATGTTGGTGATGGGAACCTGTTCCACGTGCTTCTCACCTAATTAAATCTCACACCGAGCACCTATCCAGCTCGGCCTCCCCTGCCCACACCCCTCGTCTCCCCAGGACTGTTCTGCAGGCCGACTGGTTTTCGGGGCACTGAGTATGGGGGTACGGTGTCTAATTTTCCCTTCATAGTGGTTGTCATCCTATGGCGCTGTCCTAGGGGGTGACACTCCTGTTGGGGGCCTGTTGGCTCCAGGGCTGTCTGGGCTGGACTCTCCCCTCCACCCACACCTGGCCTTTGCTCACCTGCTCGTGTCCCCCTGAGCCCGTGCCTGGGCACGGGAGGCGGGCCCCGCTGGGAGCCCCCCTCCTCAGTCCGTTCTCCTTGCTCTTCCTCCATCACGCCTGAAAAAGCCCCGGAAAGGGCTTCCGCTCGGGCTGCCTGTTGGTCACAGAGAGCTCTCAGCTTGGCCGTGTGCTGACAACAGAGGGGAGGAAGGTCCCCCGGAGAATGAACTTGAGGCCTCGGGAGCTGTTCTGTGTGAAAGAAGCTGCTCCCTGGCGGACAAAGGGGAAGCTAAGACAAAGTCACACTCCAGACCTTTCCAAAAGCACTGGGGCTGTGCGTCATTCATCCAATGAAACCCGGATCACCCCCACCCCACTCCGCCTTCAAGCACATTTCTACCCGCTTCCTAGACTGTCGGTTTGGGCCTCAGCTTTCTCATCTGTGAAATGGGATAATAATGCATACGTACCTTAGAGGATTGTCATGAGGATGAATGAGAGACGGGATGGCACACAGGACAGTCCCTACGCCCCAGGAAATGTGCCATAAATATCAGCCATTTTTATCGTTCTGTAGTTGTTACTAGAGGCAGAGGTTGGGTCTCTTTTATGTCTTTGGGGCTTTGCCGCCTGGCCTTCCCTTTGGACCTGGCCAACTTCAGGTCCAAGGTAGAGGATCCTGAGGGTCAGTGCTATTTCTAGCCTGAACAATAACACGGTCAGAGCCACCTCCGCGTGGAGTCAGAGGTGCCCTCCCTGAGGGGCCGCGTGGCCCGTCTCATTGCTCGAATCTTCGGACCGGGCCTGGAGCAGCATTGTTTCCCCGGCGACCCCTCGCAAAGATAACGAGGGAGAAGACGTGATGAGTCGGCTCTGTGGCTGCTGGACCGGAGAGTGGACATATCCTTGAGCATTCACATCGCTGTGGGGGCTGGTCTGCACCCAGAGCAACGCCTTCCTCCTGTTGCCGTTCCTCCTCCCTCCCCTCCTACATGCTCCTTCCCTTCACCTCCTGATCGGGACCCTCCTGGGGTTACTGTCTGCCTCGGTGCACCCACAGAGCTGTTATGTTGGACCCGAAATAAATGCTCGTGGCCTCTCACTTGGGCCTTTAATTTTAGGTCGACACCAGAGTCCTTGTCCCGACTGGTGGGGCGGGAGGCACCTGTCCTGGTCCTGCCGAGGACAAGCCCGGGGAGGCCGCTGTCCGTGTGAGTTTGCTTCCGAGTTTTCCCTGAGGGCAAGGGCTCTGTCTGGGAGCACAGGAACGCGGGTGGGGGGCCTCTCTGGGACTTCGGAAGGTGCTGTGGTTCTGTGTGGAGTGCAAGCCTGCCGTTTTGGCTTGCTGGACTGAATTGGATTCGACCAGGAAGAGAGGATGAGGAGACTAGAGGCTGAAATTCGAGCCTAAAGGATCCTGTAGTGAAAAAGGAGGCCGTTCCGGAACGTCAGGGACTCTGCACAGACTTGCACAGCAGTCTTACTAGGGGAATCCTGCTTGGCCCATAGTAGGCTCCTCCCGGAGACCTGGACCGTCCCCTCCCTGTCCCGAGGGCAGCAGGGTGGGCTGCCAGGGGTCGGAGCCACGCGCTTCAGTTCCACTCAGTAACTCAGTCAATACATGTGCCTTAAGCACCAACTACGTGTCAGGTTCGGGCTTGGGAGTTGCAGGGAGGGGGTGCAAAGGTGAGCAAGACAGGTTTCTGCCTCCCAGAAGCTTACAGTCTAGGGGGGAAGAGAGAGACTCGTCAGGAAGTCACAGCAACGTCAGCAGCGCAGCATCTGTGCTGGGAGAGAGGTAGAGGAAGGCGGGGCCCGGGAGGAGAGAGGACACTGCTGCCTGAGCCAAGGAGCAGGCCCCCTGCTGGGGTGGGGAGGAATTTGACAGCTAGGACTTTTTCTTTCTTTCTTTCCTTTCTTTCCTTTCTTTCCTTTCTTTCCTTTCTTTCCTTCCTTCCTTCCTTCCTTCCTTCCTTCCTTCCTTCCTTCCTTCCTTCCTTCCTTCCTTCCTTCCTTTCTTTCTTTCTTTTCCTTCCTTCCTTCCCTTCCTCCTTTCCCCTTTCCTTTCCCCCTTTCCTTTCCCCTTTCCTTTCCAGGTGTTGTGCGGACACCAGTGAATGAGAAAGGTGTTACAGAGAGAGGGGAGAGCATGGGAGAAGGCAAGGGCACAGGGAAAGAACTCAGGGACCATTTGGAGCAGCCTGGGCTCTTCTGGGGGGTTCGAGGTGGCACCGTGACTTTAAGGCCGTCACTCACTGCGGCCCCACAGGACAGCCCGGGCAGGAAGCAACTCTCTTCCTGGCTTCTTCCTATTGTTTGTGTCATGATTCTGCTTAAGGCATTTCTTTCTTTCTGTATTGGAGGGAAATCATCTGAGGCTCTTCCCCAGATAGGGAGAGACTCCTGGGCTCCCGAGGTTCAGGCTGCTTCGTCACCCCCCACTGCCTGCCACTGCATTCCCGGGGCTGGAAGGACCCCCAGGGCAGCTGAGGGGCACCCCCCACAGCGCTGCCCAGCGCTGAGCCACAGCACCCTGCTGCAGCCAGCGCTGGCCCCTGCAGTTGTCCTTACTCCCCAGGGGGAAGAAGAGAGGGCCGACCCCTCCAGTCGCAGATGGCCTTTTACGGGGACCGTCCCTGGGTGAGCCCAGAAATGTTCCCCCAGAGCTGAGGCGCTGAGAAGCCATCCAGATACGTGGTCCGTGGAGCGCCGTAGGCCTCCCACTTACACCTGCATTCCCGAAACCTTTCCTACTAATTAATTTCTGAATTACACAACAATGCACTTTCTAATTACACAGGGGGAGCACAAGCAGCTATAAAGGGGTCGTTATCTATTGCCCAAGTGATTCTCATAGATGCTCTCCCAGGAAGGAGAGAGGAAGGGAGGAGGGGGGAGGGGGGATGACGACACAGAGACTGAGGTTGAGAAGGAGGCCCTCCAAGGCTGGGCGGCCGTCATCTGCAGGAGCTCAGCTGCTGGGGACGCCCTTCCAGGAGACACGCAGCCGTCTCTGGGCTCCGAGAGGAAAGGCTCCCTCGGGTGCTCTGCCCCCGGTGCCAGCGTAATTACAGCCTGACATTACGGACCGGGATGGCGGGGGGTGGTGGGAGGGGGTCGGGGAGACACTCACTGGGGATCAGCCACATCGTCACTTCTCGAAGTCCCATGTGTATCGTGGTAGTCAAAGCGGAGACCAGTTTCTGTCTTATTTTTTGTTTTGTTTTTATTGCCACATGAATTATGATTACTATTTTTGTTTATATGGATTGGGCAGCACATGAACACAAGTGGCTTTTGTGTCATGTTGGAATTTCTGGATTATCAGACGTTTATTAGGCGCACGAAACATCACTGGGCACCTACTATGTGCAGGAAGTGTGCTAGGCAGCGAGCTATAGGCGTGGACGACCCCTGCGTCTGGGACCATCGGTGTAGCCTGAGGGGAGAGGGCAGGTGTAAGAACAAACACGTCCGCACAAGGCCATGGGACAGCGGGGGAGACGGGGCCTGGGGAGCCGTGCGGGCCCTCGCTGCCTCCTGGGGGTTCAGGCAAGGCTCCGTGGGAGAGACGAGAGTATGAAACAGGAATTCCTCCCAATCTTACCTAGAACCTGAGGGCCGCGGGCCCCTCCCCGCCCAGCATTCTGTGTCTGGGAAAATGATCACAGTGTCTACGGAAGGAGCAGCTTCTGCAGAAGACGTCTTTCAGATTCCGCAGCCAGAGCCAACTGCTGCAAGGAGGCAGGTTTTGCTACTATTGCAGGAGTCACCACTAAGTGGCTACATCTGCGGCTAGCGCCCCCTGTTGGCAGAGCCTAATGTGGCGCCAGATGATTACGAGACAGCGCTAACAGATTCAGAAAGTGGGGTTATCCCAGTGTTAGGGGCTGGCTGCCCCAGAGATGCGCCCCTGGGGGACCCTCCAGAGTGTGTCCACACAACCCCAGCTCTTACCTGTCCTTAGGCCCATCTGCTCAGGGCCTCTGGGTTTCCCGTGGAGACAATTCCTTACGGGGAAAGCTCTCAGCCAACAGGGGAGGCTTACGGGCACTCCTGAGGCTCCTCCTCCGCAGCCTGGGAAGGAAGAGGTGGCCCTTCAGCCGGGGCCTCATGGCAGCAGGAGACTTGGCCGTGTCCTTAACTGTCCAGTGGTCTCAGGGGTCCCTGTACCCACAAAGTCTGCACTGGGAGCCCACGTGTCCTGGATCGGTGTCCCAGTTCTTGTGGGCTCTCACGGAGGGCTTTGTCTGGCGGCTC